TAAAATTGTCTTATTTAAGCAGTAATCTTCCCCTAGATACTTGCATATAGATTATAAAAAATTGATTTGTTCATCATGCTGAAGATCGTGGAAAAACTAAAAAAGGCCTAAATTCAACCTGATAAAATGTTTCTTTTTAAATTCATAGTAGGAAAGCCGGCAGAAATCAAATAAAGACTAAAGGTATGTCACAAAATACCGTAATGTATAAAGAAAACGGATCAAAATTAGACATTTTGGCACAAGTATGCAAAAAAGGAAAATAATTTTAGAAACGGAAACAGTTCAGTTGCAATCAAGATGCGCGAATGATTCGGTTAGAATATCTCAAAGCAAAATTAGAGATTGGGGAACTCATCAAACTGGAAATCTTATTTTAATAGTAAGTAAATTTGAAATAAGATTACTTTCAGAGGCACAGGAACGATTTATGGAGAAATAAGGTTTTGCATAAGTAGATGAGACTTACAATTCCGTGTAAATCTATAGTAGCCTTCGGCATCATTTTTTGTCACTTCGCGAGTTAGCCCAAAGTCCCCTATTTTCACGGTTCGATCCGGTCCTACAAGACAGTTTCGACAAGCTATGTCCCGATGGATCAAGTGTTGCGAATGTAAGTAAGCTACACCCTCTGCGATGTCCAAAGCCATACGTGTCAAAGTAGTGGGTCGCACATCTTCAGCATCTGGTTCCCTAGATAATATAATGAATAAAAATATATGCAAATAACCATAAAAAATGAACAAAAAACAGTCTGAATGATAATATGAGGATAAATTTGTAATAAATAAGCAATAAAACTATATTGAATTTCCAGAAGATGTATGCAAACACGTCCATTGTACCATTATTCAGGCAAATGTGCAGTAATATCGTCGTCATTATCTGCTTATAACTATTTTAGAGTTGGGTAGCTAACATTAAATCGTCTTAGTGACCGCAATATAATTTCCTCGCATCTGAATACAGTGAGCCGATTTGCGTTAAATTCATGCACTAAAAGAAGTTTTGCGTCCTGTGGTATGGAACGGTTGATCTGTAAAGGTGCTTTTGGTTAGTTAAGCATCATGAAGTGCTAATAGGAGGATCCGAACTCAAAAAGATAGGTTCTAAAATAGGATGGAACAAAATAAAAGTGCAATGTTAAACTTATTATATATTGCTATTTTTGTATCGGGCTGTGCCGTATAAACATAAAAATTATGCAGAAA